TGAAGTTATGGGAGCAAAATGAGCAACTGCTGTTGTTGAGATTGCTCCTTGAAGGAACCTGAACCTACCCAGTGTGATTGATGGTCCTAATCCCTAAAAATAAAGGTCTGAATGCTCATTAGCTGGCTTCCCTGCTTACTCTAAGCAAAATCTTTGCAGGGTCACTATTGCTTAATGGCTTTTTTGCACACTGGTGACCTTTAGTGGCTCACTGGCAAACTGAAGCATTGGCTGCATGCTGTGTGCCTGCTTGGCTCTGCCTTTTTGGTTTTGAATCCAGAGAAGTTCTGGTGTCAGAAATAGAGCCCTGCTGTTCCTGCTGGCATCCTATCAGGTTGCATGAGTTAGGGAGACATCTATACAGGTAACTGAGGTAAAATATCTCTCCTGTCACTGGCAACAGGAGTCTGCAGCAGTGAAATCCGGGTGTAGAAGTGACACAAAGGGCATTTCTTCTGCTCCTGGCTGTCTGCCTGAGGTTCACTCTGAGCAGAGGGCCTGTATTCTGCTTGCACAGGCTGCTCTTGGTGCCAGACTCGCTTCCTGACTGCAGACCTGAAGTCCAAACGTTTCTTAGGCACGCCTGAAGGCTGTTTGACTGCAATATTTGGTGCTTAATTTGAAGCTTTAAGGACTCTCAGACGTTTGCTCTGTCTCAACAGGTGAAGAAGAGCAGTTTGACATGGACATCTAAAGCACGTGCCCTGAGAGTGCTTCTCCAATGAAGAACCAGGACCTTGTTTGAGGATTCCCACCAGCCAGGCTTACAGCAGCCCATGCCTTCAGTGCCTTCCTGTTTCTTGGGAAAGGCAGTTTATTCCCTTCTGAGAACAGAGTGCATCCTGTTACAAGGACTGAAGCTCAGCCTCTCCGTGTGGGTGTGAATACAGTGCAGACCCTGCTGATGGTGGGGTGCCAGGGGAGACAGCCTCAATGATTGTTTTTGTTTCCAGTTTTATGCTTTTGTTAATCATTTTAATACTGTAAAAGTTACAGAAATGCAATATGAGGGAGAAATAAATCATTTGGACTCTCCTGGTATGCAATAAATATTGGTTCTGGTCTGTATTCATTCCAGCTCACGGGAACTAGCAGCCTGTTGCAGAATTGGGGTGGTTTTGCAGTCAGGCTTGGGATCAACACCTGATGACTGCAGGAAATGTGTGCTCTGAGCCTGCTTCCAGAAACAGTGATCAAAAACTCTCCATCGTGTGCTTTCAGATCATTCTTTTGCCAGGTCGTGGTGCAGATGTCCCTGAGTTTTTTCTCCTGCTCATCCTCTCAAGGCTCAATCAGGCTTTAGGAGAAGTGTCTCATCGAGTTCAATAGGAGCCACCTGCACCTGAGTGCCCTGGTGCTCTGTGCTGCAGCTCCTGCCTTTCCAAAACTGCCCATCTTCTCCAGCATGTGAGCAAACTGTCACGTTTCCTAGGCTTTCTTTAGGATTCGTGCTGAAACTGGTGTCTTTAGGTATCCTTATCATGTGATGGGAAGGAATTAAAGCTTGTGAGTTTAACTTGGGAGGCTGGAAATAAATTTGCTTGATTTTGAGGGATTTTCAGCTCTCCCCAAAAAGATACATTTACATTTCTGGTCTCTGTGTAGTATAACGAATGTGAATTATGCAGTAGTCTCTAACGTGCTGCTTCATTGCTTTAGAGGTGGTGCTAATGCCTGAGGAGGTGTTTCAAAGGGAAAGAAAGCCTGTTAGGACATGGCCTGAACTTGGGACTTCCTAAAAGACAATGAGCGTCTCTTTAAATCTCTCTTGGCCGATAATACTTAAATATCTGCTAATTGAGCTCAATGGTGGCATTATGACCTGCAAGCCTTTAATAACGAGTAACAAAAGAAACAGTCGGAGCAATTGATGCAGATAAAGCTCGCATTTGTTAAGATAAGATTCGGTGGGTTTTGAAGCCTTAATGGGGACGCATTCAATTTCCCTGCCTTCAGTGTCACTGGGTTTTGAGGTGAGCAGCTGCTCTTGCTGTTTGCTGTGCCCTGCAGCTGGGTCTGCCTCATCTTTCCAGCTCGAATTCATGCATCCAGAGGAAGGACGCTGCTGAATTGCAGAGGCTGCAGCTCCTTGTGTGCTTGGAGTTAACCTGGAGTTCACCTGCTTTCTACACAACCACAGCAGCTCCAGCTGCGCTTTCTGGTCCAGATAACAGGTTAGTTGAGAGGAGACCTCGCCCCCGTGGTGTTAATTTGTCTGATCTGGTTGTTCTGGGTAGAGCAAAGAGCTGTGACAGGCTCACAGGATGACGTTTGCAGCAGTGAGCTGCGTGCATTTGGTGCTGCAGCTTGCTGTCCTGCTGTGCCCTAACCTAAACGTTTGTCATTCATCACAAGCACGGCTTTCCAGCTTAAAGGAGTTGCATGACCTTTGAGATCAGGCGTGGTAGAAAAGCAAAAGAAGTCCCCTATCTTGAGGTGAACAGATGCACTTAGTTATCTGTAAGGTACAGAGATGGGCAGAGCCCTGCCAAGTGCTCGTGCCTTTGGGTGCTGCCTGCTGGTGCAGACCGTGGGTTCCTGTATCAGTACAGAAGCAGCTCTGAGGGTTTTGTTGGTTTGTTTTTTGAACGAGTGACAGCTATTGCAAGTAATTCCTCTAAGCCCTGTTACCTTCCCCCCTGTGCTCAGGGGGTCACAGCATGCAGCAGCGTGCATTTAGGTGCTAAGTATTTTGTCCATGCCCAAGATAGCTATGCATCGGTGTCTGCGTGCATATGTAGATCTGGGGGAGCATCAAAGCCCCCGCTGCCCACCCCAGCGATGTGGGGCAGAGGGAGGAGCACCTGGCCAGGTGTGAATCGGGCTCTGTGCAGGTTGGGATTCCTGCAGGATGGGCAGAGTGGGGCCCTGGGGCCATGGGCACATCAGTGCCCTCAGTGCTGCACCACGCAGCTGCGGGAGGTTGGTGGTGGTGTGTGTGGAACTGTGCGTCCCCAGCGCCTCTTTGCAGCCCCACATCCTTCAGCCAGGCTTTTTGGGTTGATCTCCTGCGTGCCTGGGGCCCCGAGCCAAGCAGAGAGCAGCTTGGTGCTCCCACGAAGGCCCCTTCTGGGTCAGCGTTTGCTCCTCACCCACTGCTTTGCACCAGGAGAGGGGACAGGCGGCGCTGCTGTGTGCACGGCAGGAGGTGAAGTGGCTGTGGGTGGCTGCATGGCACAGCTGGGATGCTCTCAGGGTGGTACAAGGGGACAAGTGTTGCTTTTGTCACTGCATTTTCCCTCCCTGCCCCTTTTGTCTGCAGCAAGGCAGAGCGGAGAGCCTCCGTCCTGCTCCACGTTCCAGTCATGGGATTGGAGCTGCCTGCCCGACCTGAACAGTGCCTTAATCAACCCACTGAGCAAATATTGCCCTGTGCCTTTGATAAGCCCTTCCATCTGTTTGTTCTCACTCCTTCTTTCCCCGTGCATCCAAAATAAACTGCGCTTATCATCGCCTCCTGGGGCGCGTGCAGCCTTGGGCTCTGCAGAGCAGAGAGCAGCAGCTGGGTACAAAACATGGGGCAGGAGACGGTGCCACAGAGAGCTGTGCCCATGGGAGGGCTGTGACGGGGTTGGAGCCATTGAGCTCCTGCATCCCCTCTACCCATCCCTGCCACGTGTTGCCCCTGATGGAGTGCTGAAGGGTTGACACAGGTTGGGTCTGAGGTTAGAGTTGGTGTTGGGCCCATGAGCACAGCCTGGCCGTGCTCCCTGGAGAGCAAGACCCCACAGCAAGCATCACCAAGGGCTGCAGCTGCCCCTACAGTTTGACTGTCCTGAGTCTGTCCTGCAGTTGATGTGTATTGGGCAGAGCAGCTCGCAGATCCATCCCCATCCCCAGCTCTGATACCTGTCACGGCGCAGCTTTGATGTCCCCAACAGCCACAATCCCAGCCTGTGTTTCCCCCCCCCCGGCTCTCACAGGGCCCGTCTGCCCACGATAACTTTTGAACCCGAGTCTCCTCTCAGACAGAGGTGATGGAGGGGCTGAGATGTCGGAGATACGGCTCCTGGAGAGGGTCTGGGGGCCACGAGGGGCTGCGAGGAGCAGAAGGCAAGCTGGCAAGCAAGGCAGGGAGATGCTCGGTGCCCTCTGGGTGCAATAGCATCTAAGAGCGCATTCCTAGAATGCAAAGGAAGGGTGAAATAATGTGGGATCCATCGCAGGAGGAGCGCAGAGCCCAGACCGCGGGTGTGTGCCCCCCGCCGGGGGTTAGCAGCACGGCCGCCCTCTCCCAGCGCTTAACAGCTCCCGCAAATGACCCTCTAATGACGGAGAGGGGACACAGACGAGCTTTGTTTCCCCGCCGCCGGGATGTGGATTGGAGATGTGGAATCGGGGCAGGGGGTCCGACGGGGCAGCGGTTTCAGCCCCATTCCATCCTCCCCCCCCCTCCCTCCTCCCGGCTGCGAGAGCGCAGCCCTGCCCTTATCTCCGAGGGGTAAATAAATGGAAAATCCACTCAGCCTTCCACTTCCCTTCAAAGGCTGCAGGTGCTTCCCGGCTTGCTGTTGAGCAACCCCCAATCTGCAATCAGGGTGGGAACTCCTCCTTCATCACCCTCGTTTTCCCGTTCCTGGAGCAGGCAGGGCGATATCTATTGCCGTGGCATCGTTTGGGGGTCCCTTTGTTCTACAAAAGCCCTTCTTGTTCTGCACGCAGGGAGCCCCCAGACCCCCCCCCAATGCCTGAGGCTGTGCCTCGTGGCAGAGCACTGGGGGGGCTGCGATTGTGCATTGCTCCTGGGAGGTCGGGATACCCATTTGCTGCCCAGCTGCTCGCACCAGAGCTCGGGGGGTGCATCCCAAAGACCACCCAGCAGCGAAGAGAGGAGGGGTGAGAAGGTGGGAAGAGGCACAGATTGAGCGACTATTGCTTAAATACATAATTTATTGAGGGGTTGTACAAACACAGCTCTTTCTCTACCACCCGATCCAGCGAGGGGCTGGGAAAGTGTGAGCCCAGTGCAGATGGGAACGGCAATGGATGGGGCTCTGGGACAGGAAGGAGGGCAGGGGGGCTTGGATATGCTGCTTCCAGGGGCACCCAGTTCACCTAGGCTTTTACTGGAAACTTTTAATACAAATTGGATAGAATTTTATTCCAAGTACAATAGAAAACATCAAAGAAAATGCCCAGAGCCTTGAAGAACGCTGCAAATCTCAGTTCTTTGGATGCTGAGCGTGGATGGATATCAGTGCTGCAGGTGTCCCTCGGAGATCCTCCAGCACCAGGAGGTGTTCATGGTGTGCAACACACAGAGCCCTGCACAGCATTCACCAGGAGGGAGCTCGGGGAGCTCAGACTTCTCCCGCAGAGCAGCACCCAGTGACTTCCCCACGCATCACCTGGGTCTGGCTGTGCCCTGCAGCACCGCCACTGCAGGGACGTTCCCTGCTGCATCCCCGCTCCTTTCCCAGCACAGCCAGACCTGCAGGCATGCGGGATGCAGAGGAGCTGTGGGCTGGGTGCAGTGGGGGCTGAGCTCCCTCAGTTGCAGCCGCACTCCTCGATGACCATATCCTCGTGGTGGCGGACGACGATCTCGCCCTTCTCGTAGTACAGCATGGAAAGGGGGCTCATCCTGACGGGGGAGCAGGCAGGGCACGGCACCTGGTTGGGCTTGTAGAGCTGCAGCAGGCTCTGCGGGACACATGGGGACATGGCATCAGATCCCATCCCTGTAGGGCGCAGGGAAGGTGGGAACAAGGGGCAGCAAGACCCTCTTACCTGCATGTACGCGTGATTGGTGGGCTTGAAGCTCTCATCCACAGGTGATGGGCACAGCCCCTCGCAGCGGTAGGCGTTGTACTTTTTGGGGTAGACGATCCAGCTGCCCCAGCCCGTCTGCTCAAAGTCCACCGTCATGTCCACCCTCCTGCACAGGGACTTGGCCTCGTCCCCCTGGCTGGCAGCAGGAGCATCGTTCATCCTGAGCCTCTGCCTCTCCTTCCTGGTGCGGCGGTGCCGACGGGTGCCGACATCCCTGGGACCATCACGCATGATGTGCTTGGAGTTCTCCACTGCCCTGAGGAGGCTGTGCTCTCCAGGTGCTTTGTCCTTGGAGAAGACGAGCAGCAGGACGCTGTCTGCCAGCTCCTGGGGCACTGTTGTCTCTTGGGGGTCCGGTGGGGCAGTGAGCGGGGCGGCTGCAGGATCAGGAGCTGTGTCCTGGTGCAGCCATGCTCTGAGGGTGCTGGTGATGTTGAACACTGCCCAACCGGCCTGATGGGATGAGGGACCACCAGCCACGGTGCCCAGGAAGAGTTCCTTGGTGCCTTGGCACGGCTGCCGCGGGCTGTGGTAGATGTCCATGGTGATGTTGTGGGACAAGGAGAAGGACAGAGCATGTGGACGGATGCGCAGCTCGGCCAGGCTCACCTCCTGGCTGCCAGACAGGGATGTCATATCAAAGGAAAAAGCCCAGCGGGAGCCGTTCTGCAGGGAGCCTGGAAGGCAAGTGGGGACAGTGAGCACCCATGGGGCTGGGATGAGGATGCTCAGGATGGAGATGCTCGGGGTCAGTGCCTGTCCTGAGACAGGGAGGCATGGGGACTGTGCTGTTCCAGTGCAGAGGGATGTGCAGGGACAGCGCCAGTCCCGGGACAGGGATGCTCAGGAACGGGGATGCTCACGGACAGCGCTGATCCCGCGGTAGGGGAGCTCGGGGAAGGAGATGCTCAGGCATCGGGAGAGATGCCGGTCCCGGGACAGGGGTGTGTGAGCACAGCGCTGTCCCAGTGCAGAGGGACGCGCAGGGACAGCGCCGGATCCGGTCTGACTCACCGTGCGGGGCGATGCTGAGCGCGGTGGCGGAGGCTGCGCGGAGCGGTGCGGGGGGAGCGCGGAGCAGCTGCAGCATCAGCGGGGGACAGCGCGGGGGTGCAGAGCGCAGCAGGACGGAGCCGCAGAGAAGCAGCAGCAGCAGCAGCGCGGGGCGCAGTGGGGTCTGCATGGCTGCACCGGGACGAGCACCGCTCGCTATTTGTAGCGAGGACCCGAGCGCCGCCCCGAGAGCCCCCTCCCCTCTTTTTCTCGTCCCCATCCACCCCCCATCCCTCCTCCTCCCCACCCCTCCCCGCCTTCCCATCCCTCCCGGGATCCCCCAGCCCCACTCTTATATCCGATGGCACAAAAACTCGTTAATTATTATTAGTAGTGCTTATTTATTTATGTATTTCTGAGCAGATCCCCTGCCTGGCCATCTTCTCCACGTTTACCAACCCCAACAGATTTCTCGTCTGTATTTTGCTCTCGGATTTAGGCCAGTGTTAAGCAGTCAGTGTTCTTTGGCACAGTTCATCTGCTCAGCTTTATCCCCTGCATGCAGCACCGGCGCTGGAAGGAGCCTGGGGGGGCTCACAGAGCTTCTGTTGATTCCTCCCAAGGAATGAACGATCCCATCCATTCCCTTCCTTCTCTAAATAATCTCCACTGGGGCTGCAGAGCCCCACGCAGTTATGGGGCGTTGTGCTGTAGAAGCCATTGATGCTCTCCTCTGGACTCCTCCACTTTCACTGTCATTTCAAGAAGAGGGGATCAGGAGAACCCGCAGAGCCCATGTGGGACTGGTCTGCCTTTCTCTGCTCTTTTCTTCATGATCTCCGACACGTGATTCACCTTTTTTCAGCTGCTTCTGGGCTGTTTTCATCTGTTGTAACTGTAACTACAACAGTTACAGCAGGGCAGCCCATTGTAGGTGTTCTTGCTGAGCAGAGTTGTTGTCCCACGCCACCCCCTGATGTCCCTTCCAACCTCAGTCGCTTTGTGATCTTTTTGGCTCTTCGTCCCATTTCTCTACCTCTTAGAGGCTCTGAAGCCCCGCCCGCTGGCCGGCTGACTGCGTGACGTCATGGCTGAGCATGATGACATCACATTTACGCGGTGACGTCACATCCCTCCCTCCGCCTGCCGCCAGTAGGGGGCGCCGCCGCCCTCGGGATGTGGGTCCCACCGCGAGCATCGCCCTTTTAAGCCGAGAATCGCGCGAGAGCAGCGCTTGGGACCATGAAACCGGGAATCTCGCGAGAGTTGGTCCCAAGCGCTGCTCTCGCGAGAACGTCCACAGCAATGGCGGCGGCGGCGGCTGCGGCGGCGATGGCGGCTCCCGCGGAGGAGAGCGCTGAGGCGGCTCCCGAGCCTCCGGCCTCTGAACCGCCCGCCCCACCCGAACCGAGCGCAGCCGACGCCGAGAGCGGGTAGGGCGGGAACCGAGCGCGCGGCTGGGAGGCCGCGGCCCGGGGTTGAGCCGCGCTGAGTCGTTTGTGGCCTTGCAGGGGGGAGGCCGCGCCGGGGGACGCGGCCGCCGCCGCCGCCGCTGTGGAGACCGAAACCGCGAGCGGAAAGGACCCGATGGTACGTGGGGTACATAGCGGGGCGGGGGGTGAAGGCTATGACGGCGATAACCGGCGCTGTGCCGCCCGCAGGAGGCCGCTCCTGACGGCCCCGAGGCCATGGACACACAGGCGGGGTCGGTGGACGAGGAGAACGGGAGGCAGCTGGGAGAGATCGAACTGCAGTGCGGCATCTGCACCAAGTGGTTCACGGCAGACACCTTTGGCATCGACACCACGTATGTGTGCGGCGTGGGGCTCGGGTGGCCCTCAGGTGCCCCACTGGTGGCCCCTTGTGTGGCTTTTGGGTGTTGATGGCCCTCAGGTGCCCCTTTGGTGGCCTTTGGGAGGCTCTCAGGTGGCCCTTGGGTGCCCTATGGTGGCCTCTTGTGTGGCCCTCGGATGTTGATGGCCCTCAAGTGCCCCATTGGTGGCCCTCAGGTGGCCCCTTGGGTACCTTACAGTGGCCCCTTGGGTGCCCTACGATGGCTCCTTGAGTGGCCCTTGGATGTTGATGATCCCCAGGTCCCTCTTTGGTGGCCTTTGGGTGGCCCTCAGGTGCCCCACTGGTGGCCCCTTGAGTGGCCTTTGGATGTTAATGGCCTTCAGGTCCCTCATTAGTGGCCTTCAATTGGCCCTTGGGTGCCCTACAGTGGCCCTGTGGTTTGGCATTGGCAGCCCCCCACTCATTTCTTTCAGAACCAAACCTCCTCCCTGCATACCACATGAAGAGCTTTCAGTTGGGGTTGCCCTTTCCCCTCTCCTGTCAGAGCTCAGAGTTGCTGGAGGCAGCTGTCAGCCACACAGGCACTAAAACCCCACGAAGACAAAAGTGTGAATGTTGTTAATGAGGTCTCTGTGCTTCTGTGCAGCCCTCATTGGAGCACTGCGTGCTGCTCAGTGAGATTCAGTGGTTAGGCAAAGAGGTAGAGGAGGAAAGAAGCTTACTGTTTTCCAGCGATCAACTTCATCTGCTGCAATGATTGCTGACACAAGAAAGTGTTATTTATGGAGAGAGGGAGCATTCATTTCTTACCTGAGGCAGCACATAAGGCATGCAGTAGAACTTACAAACTGATCTGCTCTTTTCCAGCTCCTGTTTGCCTTTCATGACCAACTACAGTTTCCATTGCAACGTTTGCCACCACAGTGGGAACACGTATTTCTTAAGGAAGCAAGCAAGTAAGTGTCAGAGTTTCACTCATGGAAGCCTTGCATGAGGTGAAGTTGCCTGATGTCAGCTGAAACTGGCAGAAATGACCAGAGAAGTTAGCAGCAGGCATTGGGCAGCTCTGTCTGAAACATTGCTGCTCTGCTGCTGACTTGATAAGGCGTGGAAATGCTGTGTGTGGTGTGGGATGAGGCTGGGTTTGGAGTGGTGCTGTGCATCCAGTGAGGCTGTGCTTGTGTTTGTGTGCTGATCTCCTCCGTGGAATGCAACTGGAGCTTTGGGTTATCTTTGTTTTGAAGATCTCAAGGAAATGTGCCTTAGTGCTCTGGCCAACTTAACGTGGCAGTCAAGGACACAAGATGAGCATCCAAAAACCATGTTCTCCAAAGATAAGGTACTTGTGTCATAACAGCACGTGTTCAAGTCAGCTGTGCTTTCACTGAAGAGCAGCTTCAGCCAAATGTTGGCTTTCAGACTCTGTGTTTAAGACTGGATTTGGGTGGGTTTTTTTTTAACAGGATATTATTCCATTCATTGATAAATACTGGGAGTGCATGACCACGAGACAGAGACCAGGGAAGATGACTTGGCCTAATAATATTGTCAAAACTATGGTAGGTAGTTGGGGTTCATGGGGGGTTTTCTGTGAGTGAGAACTGCGGCCTGATGCTCAAGGAGAGCAAAATGGGGAAGATTTGTTAACAAAACTCGATATGATCTCATTCTGTTCTCTGTTTCAGTGTAAAGAAAGAGATGTGTTCTTAGTGAAGGAGCACCCAGACCCAGGGAGTAAGGATCCTGAAGAAGACTACCCAAAGTTTGGGCTTCTGGACCAAGTGTGTGATGGCAGATGGAAGGAGAGCATCCTGACTGGGGTTGGGGGGAAGAGGAGGGGATGGAGGCTGGTTTTGCTGCTGTCTTATGCTGTGTGAAATAAAGTATCCAAGATCACATGAGCCAGTGTTGTGCCAGGAGGAGTGCAGCACGAGGAGGTGCTGTTTGTCTGAATGTGTGCATCTGCTTAGTTCTCTTTCTTTCCTTTTCCAGGATCTTGCCAACATTGGTCCTGCGTACGACAACCAGAAGCAGAACAACGCTGTGTCCACGAGTGGCAATTTAAATGGCAAGTTCTTTAACGAGGCTCTTTATGGTTTTTTGTTGCCCTTTGGTTTGGGGCAGAGCTGCACTTCCCCAGCCCTGTAGCTGGGCGTGCAGCAGTTAAACCCACTGTGAGCTGAGGTTCTGTGTTGTGCTTTCCAAACACACCCAGCCAATCTTGCTGCCCTTTTGCTGCTCTCCTCACTCTGGGACTTGCAAGGAGCCAGGGGAAATATTTGTGATACGTTTTCCTCAAACTTGCTGCTTGCATTTTGCTGCTGTTCCATTTTTATGCAAGGACAGCTGTGCTGAGAGCTTTCCCTCACTCGTTAAGATGAATCTCAGCCGTCCTGCTGTAGGAAACTGAAGGGCTGATGAGGTTTCTTTGTGCCCAAGGCTGTGCCATTGAGTGTGAAGCCTGCTGAACAGCTAGCAGGAGGTGGCTGGGGCTTTTAACAAGAGGGTTGAAGCTGCACTGTCTCCATTTCATGCACTGCTTGTTGTTTTCTTTACTGGAAGTTTGTCACATGCGTGGTGCCACTTCTGTTCCTACAGATGGAGCCTCTCTGGGAGGTGAATGTTTACCTTTCAGCTTCTAACACTTAAGTATTGCTGTGTTCTGGAAAGCTTTTGTGCTCAGTTCTCATAAAAGCTTGAATTGAATGAAAGATCAGAGGTGTGTCCTGGTGTGACTGTGAGAAAGATGCAAACCAAGCATTTCACTTCCTAATGTTTAGCAGTTAGAAGCTTTTAGTGCATCATATTCTGCCCCCACTCGACTGGCTTAAGGTTTTGTTTCCAGTTGTGTTGATCTTTCACTCTGTACGATTTGACCTGATATCTTTGGCTATTTTAAATCATAACGTGGGCTGGAAGCTGGTGTGATATTTGGATTCCTTGCATAAAGAAGTGATGAGAAACTGGAAAGGCTGAGTATTTCTTGCTGAAGTCCATGAGTGCAGCTTAGCTGGTGTCAGGTGCGTGCAGAATGTGGCGTCCCTTCGAGGTCTGAATCCCTCACAGCACAGAGCTGGTGCTGCTGGTGCAAAAGCTTGCTGTAGTTACAGCACACTGCGTGGTTCCTGAAGGTGTTTGTCTGCAGTGCCCACAGACCCCACAGTTCTCCTTGCAAATCAAGAGATTTCTCTATGAAATAATGTCATGATGAACTGCACGTGCCATGAAAACATCGATATCTGTGTTAGCTTGGTGAGATTTGACACACAGCTCATCCTGGACATCAGCTGCTGCAGTGTGAGGTGACACAGTGCCAGTTTGGACCGTACTGAAGAGAAACACCTGCATTGCTGTCCTGTTTTATACAACTTGGGTGCATTATTTTTGCAGATTGAAAGATGCTATCAGTGCCGGTGTTTCTGCAGCACAGCAACATCACTGGGGTGACACTTTGTGCTTAGAATCAGGTGGTGCTGTGCTGTGGAGTGGGTTTCTCTGCTGCTTTTTGCAGAAATAATCCAAGCTGTGTGACTGGAATCTCCACAAAGGGAAAGAACAGAGCTGATGGTGGTCGCTGCGCTCATCCTCCCTGATGTCCTTTTTGGTCATAACCGTGTAGGAGGAACCATAAGCCACCCAACTGATGGGAACGAGGCTTTTTCTGTCCTTGTGGAGATTCCATGCTCACAGGCTCTCCCTGCTCAGCAGCTGCTGAACGAGGTGTTTGTTTTCCTCTTGGAAAGGAGGCATCGCCGCGGGAGGCAGCGGGAAAGGAAGGGGAGCGAAACGCAAACAGCAGGACGGCTCAACGACTGGAACAGCCAAAAAAACCAGGAGGTGAGGAGGGCTGGAGCAGCACAGGGACTCAGTCGGGTCATGAACGAACTGTAGGCACGGCGAGATGCCAACCTGTAGCTTTTGTGTTTCACAGTGACCCGTTGTTCTCTGCGCAGCGTTTGCCACCCCACGGTTACCCCTTGGAGCACCCCTTCAACAAGGACGGCTATCGTTACATCTTGGCTGAGCCAGATCCCCACGCACCCGACCCAGAGAAGCTGGAGTTGGATTGCTGGGCAGGAAAACCGATTCCTGGGGATCTGTACAGAGCCTGCCTGTATGAAAGGGTCCTCCTGGCGCTGCATGACCGAGGTATGGGGTTTGCTGGTGGTGTGCAGGTCGTGCTGCAGCTCTTCCTGGGGGAGCTCCTGTAACCCCGTGTGCTGAGCTTGCAAACAAGAAGTGAAAAATGTGAAACCCACTTCTTTACATTGGCTTCCTTCTGGTATCACTGCCTGTTTTAGGGGTCAGAAATGAGCTGTGTTGTGTTTCCTCTTCCCTCGTGCAGCTCCTCAGCTGAAGATCTCAGATGACAGGCTGACTGTTGTCGGGGAGAAGGGCTATTCCATGGTACGAGCCTCGCACGGGGTGAGGAAGGGAGCGTGGTACTTTGAGATCTCCATGGATGAGATGCCCCCAGACACAGCTGCCAGATTAGGCTGGTCGCAGCCACTGGGTAAATAACTTCACCAAACATTTTTAGCAGGCCTTGGGTTCTAACCAGATGTTGGTACTTTATTTTTGTCTTCAGCAGTTTCAACCTAGACTATTGAGTGATGTCTGACTTGCCCCTTGCCTAGGATAAACTCTTTTCTTGGTCCTCTAAACTGTGCAGAACTTCACTGCTGGCAGATCTTTCTGCTGTTATGTGCTTGGCTTTGCTTAACACTTGTGCTGTGTTGAATGGAACTGTTAGCACCTGAAAGGACACCTTCTGGGCTGTTCCATGCTTTGTGTGTTCATGAGGAAACGCTGGTTTCTGCAGGGAACCTCCAGGCACCTCTGGGCTACGACAAATTCAGTTACTCCTGGCGCAGCAAAAAGGGAACAAAGTTTCACCAGTCCATAGGGAAGCATTATTCATCTGGCTACGGACAGGGGGACGTTCTGGGCTTTTACATCAGTCTTCCAGAAGATACTGAGACTGCCAAGTCGCTGCCTGACACTTACAAAGATAAGGTGAAGCACTTTGGGGCACCGTCAGCCATCAGGCCCCTGCAGCTTTGCCATTCTGTGACATGTCCCCATTTCTGAAGTAATGGTTTCTTGATACATTTCAGGCTTTGATCAAATTTAAAAGCTATTTGTACTTTGAAGAGAAGGATTTTGTGGACAAAGCTGAGAAGAGCCTGAAACAAGCGCCGGGAAGCCAGGTGAGCTGAGCACTGATCAGTGCAGATGCAGCACTCAGTATGGGTGGAGAACCTGCTGAGGCTGCTTTCTCTTTCTCTTTATTCCACGTTACCCTTGTTGATAAGCTGCCTTTTGCCAAGGAACCGACTGCAAAACTCCTCCTTTTCCTTTTCAGATCATATTCTTCAAGAACGGCGCCAGCCAAGGAGTCGCTTTTAAAGACATTTTTGAAGGAGTTTATTTCCCTGCTATTTCTTTGTACAAAGGCTGCACGGTAACAACATGCTTTCAAAGATAATGCCTGAGTCCAGCCACAGTTCTGGTGATGCAGAGTGTGTGCGTGCTGGGAACGGGCCAAGCAAGCCCAGTGAAGTGAGCAGAGAGGAGAGGCAGAGTTTTATGGTGGTGGAGGCAGCCCAGAACAATGCATTTATTCACCTCGTGTTATTTAACCTCATCAAGCTCCTAATTAATGCTGTCCTTTAATGCGGAGATGTATATTTACAAGTATCTGTGCAGGGTGCAGTTATGCTCAGGAGTGTAAGAGGGTCAGGGTTGAAGAATGGGGGGGGGAAATAAAGCGAGCCAAGTTGTCCAGCTTTGTACTGACACATAAATGTTCTCTGTAGGTTTCTATCAACTTTGGGCCATATTTCAAGTACCCCCCCAGAGATGTCACCTACCGCCCCGTAAGTAACAGCACGCATCTCCCTCACCTCACAGCACAGCATTTCAACAGAAGGGGACTGGGAACTCAGTGCTGGGAGGGGAGATTTACAGCAGGGCTGCACCTCGCATCGTCGCTTCTACTCACAGCTTGATGGTGCAGCCAGAAGGAATGCATTTAAAAATCTGGGAGAGGCAATAGCAAGAGAAAAGCAGAACAAGGATGAGAAAAAAACTTGGTGGTTAAGCCTGGCTTTGTTTAAGCAAAGGTGTTTTTGTCTTGGCCTTCTGCTCCCTTTGTAGATGAGCGACATGGGCTGGGGAGCTGTAGTGGAACACACGCTGGCAGATGTCCTGTATCACGTGGAGACAGAAGTGGATGGAAGACGAAGCCCCCCCTGGGAGCCTTGAAGCAAGCAGGGGCAGCACAATAAGGCAGCGACTCAACCCAGGTGGATTTTATTCTGGAGGAAGGTGCAGCTCAGAACAACCCATAACAAACAGACACGAAGCCAACGCAGCTCTGGGCAGCAGGTGCAGTGCGTGCACGCTCCTTGCTGGAGATTCATGCAGTGCCACTGTGCTGAGTCCAACTCACTGCTGTCCTAGTGTGTATTGTGCTGTTTGTGAGCATCTCTGCGAGGCTCCAGGAGCTCACAGTGTGGCAAGCTGAAGAAGCAACGACTGTGTTGAGATCATTTCCCATCTGACTCACACCAGTCGTTCAGTGGGACCAGGCGTGTGGTTGCACCCACCTGCTGTCTCCATCCCTGCAGAAGCAACTCTGGCACTTCTGCTTAGCTGTGCTTGGCTAAATCTCAACAGTTTCCATCCAGGATTGTGTTGTAACGAGAACTGCATGTAAGACTGAAATTTGGGCTTCTGCCCAAGCTGGATTTTTTTGTTTTTCTTTTGTTTTTTACATAAACTGGCAGCCAGTTGAACCATAAACTCTTTTAAACTCTTCCCTCGTTTTTGTCTTGTGCTTTTTGTTGAAGTATCGCAGTTCCCCCTTCATAACCTGCAACCTTAAAGTACCTACTTGAAATCTGAAGCTGTCTATGGAAGCAATGACGAGTTTCCCAGGGACTCCTGCTAATGACAATCAGTGCAGAACTTTGAATAAATAATCTTCCTGTGCAAAATCACATCAAATAACTTAGAGCTGCTTCGCTAGGGGAAAGGAGGGGAATGCATTTGAGGCTAAGCCCTGTGTTCTGCACACGGAGCAGCACTGCCTGGCCCTGCCTTCTGAACGAGGCTCCTGGGACTCTTCCCTAATAACTAATTAGCCAAGGCCTTTTTACTGCAGACTAATAAAGCTTCAAGTAATTAGCTGGGAGGTCCCAGCAACAACGTGCTGCTTCAGGTACGGCATCCGCTCGCTGCTGGCACTGCCTTCTGAATCAGGCTCCTGGCTAATTAGTTAAGCTTTATTACTACTGCCTGCTATTAAAGGCCTGTCTTGTTAGCACAGGCCAGAATTGAGTTGTATCTGACTTATCTAGGGACGAGATCCCAGCTGTCAGCCCTGAACGAAGCTCTCAGTGGCAGCCTGTGCACTCAGCAGCCCGCGCCATGCGCTGCCGGAGGTGCTTGGCAAAATCCACCTGGGTCTGGGACAGGACCTGGTTGATGATGGTCTTTGGCAGCCAGCCCTGCAGAGGAACAAGCAGCCCATCAGTGCCTCAGGCACAACTCCTGCCTTGCCTTTGAGGCAGTTCAATGCAGGATTTACCTTCAGGTCAATGCTAAGAAGCCACGTTAACTTGGTCTGCGAGGGACTGCCAGCCAGGGGGCGCAGCACCATGCATGTGGGGCCATTCTCAGCTCTGTTAGGAGGACAGGAGCGCCCGTGTCAGACAGCAAAAGCTGACATTGCCAGAGCACTTGGAGCTCCTTCACAACGACTTCTCCCTTCCCAAAACGCAAACTGACCGCTTTGAAACGTCATCCCAACCCCGAGCCCCTGCTGAAAGCCGAGGTGTGAATTCAGAGTTCATTAAACACCCCAGGTGGTAATTAATTACCTGATAAATCCCTGCTGCTCGGGCATGGCTCCGTGCTTGGTGGACATCCCTGCCAGCACGCAGGTGGAGCCTCGGCGTCGGGAGCACCTCACACTCACAAAATCCCGCGGCCCAACGATGTTCCCAGGTACAGCAGCTGCTGTCTCGTGGGTTATCAGGGTGTCCTTCCCAACCTTCTGGAGGATCTGAGCAGTTCAAACAACGACATGCTGCAAAAAATCCCCCTCGTGGCATCGTGTCTGTGCATCTGACTTCTCCCCAAGGAACGGGAGGGAAAAACCCCTGTGCCTGCAGCAATGCTCACAGCCACTCTTTGGCTGTTGTGGCAGCACACAGAGCCGTGTGAACGTGCATCAAGCAGCACAGCAGGATTCTGCTGTCCCCATGAACACCCCGTTTTCCTCCTACCTTCACCTCTTGGACGCTGGGATTCCAGTCTCCCATCTGCTCCATGTTGTCCACCAGCTCACTGTACACAGCATCCAGGGGCTGATCCACCACCACCTCCAGTCGGAACACCTTGCCCACGTCCGGCAGCACTTTGCTCAGCACTTTGTCTCCGTTGTCCTGACGGGGGAAAGGCAGATCAGCACCGCAGATACTCACACGAAAGCCACCGCATCGCTGCGCGGCCACAGGAGGGCTCACCACCACCGTCTCCGTCTTCCAGCCCTCCTGATCCCCGAGGATGCTGAGTGACTTCTGCAGGGCTTCCTCTCCTTGTTTGATGTAGGACATCTCCATCTCGCTGAAGGGCTTCTCCTCCAGCCTGGAGCCTGAGAGAGAGCAGGCAGAAGCAGGAATAAGAGCACTGACACATCACAATACCCGCCAGCTCTATCAAACCAACCTCTCCGTGCCCCACGACTCGGCCTGGAGCTCAGTTCCCACCACCAGCTGCATTTCCATTAGCAAAGCTCACAGCACCACGAGCAGATTTCCTCCCAAGCACCGACCTGGAGGAGGCAGATCCCAGGAAAGCGGCACTTACTGAGCAGAGAGCTTCGCCTGCGGACCTGGCTGATCCACGTGCTGGGCCCCGCGCTGCGGCACGACAGCTTGCTGAGCTCCTGGCTGATGGCCACTGCAGCCTGTCTGCGCAGCCCTGAGGGCAGAGAGCAAATCACAACACAGCCCTGAGGTGTCAGGTTGGAAAAGTCTCGCTTGTCTGCTTGCACCCAGCCCCGCTGCTGAAGTCCCTGGGAGAGAAGCTTCCTCCCATCGCAATACTGGAGGATGGGAGCGGATCCGTGCTGCTCAGGCTTTGCTCCAAGCACCACATGGAGAGCATGCAACAGCCTGAGAGCAGCTGAAGAGTGACTGCCTGCTCCAGAGCTGCAGCCCCACTGGAAACATCACACAGCCTCCATCCCCCAGTCCAGAAGTAGAGCAGAAAGGAGTCGTGCAGACAGCAAAACGCGTGGCGCGGGCCTCTCACCGGTCACGTTGCGCAGGTGTTGGTAGGAGATGGCAGCACACAGCTTGAAGGTGGCAGGCAGCATCTCTGCAGCGCAGTGGAGCTCAGTTCTGGTGACTGCTGCAAATACTGCTGTGCCTCAGCCCCAAGGCTGGGCCTTAAATCCACCAGCTGAAGGATGCTGGCTTGTCAGCACCGAGATAAGGGCCATCACTTACGGCAGTGCCCTGCAGGCCAAGGGCAGCTCCGTCTCCCCATGCATCTGCTGGGGGCTGTGGGTCACAGTGGGTGCCAACAGCAGCGCATGCGCACATCCTTACGCAGCTGCTGCTGCCCAGATACGTGGGGCAAACTCTGCTGTCCCCCTCTGCTGCTGCAGGGCACGTGGGGAATGCACATGGATGCTCTGTGCACGTTGTGAGGCTGAGAGAACTTTGTAGACAGCTTGCATGGAGCTGCAGCTGAGGGTTGTGCATGCAGAGCAGGGCCGCAAGGCGCATAGGGAGGCTGTGGGGTGGGGGTCCCAGCCACGCTCTGCTGCACTGAGGGGGCAGCCCCACATCTCCTGGGGGTGGAGCAAGAGCAGCGATAATGTTCAAGGCTGAAATGACATCTGTGGGATGAGTTACAGCCCCAGCACTGAGTGCTCCCCAAAAGCTGTGAATCACAGCTGCTTCCTTTGACGTCAGCTCCTGCACTCTGCTGCGGGGATGCTGACCTTGCTCCTCTTTGCTGTCGCAACAGTTTGGTGAGGGGGGGGGAGGTCACCCACTCACTGTGGTGCTGAGGGCACACGGGGAACTGCAGCACAGCCCTCTGGTGCTCAGCCCTACCTGTGCCTGGGAATGGCTGCACTGCTCCTGCCCACACCTCCAGGAGGGATCTGGATGGATCCTCTCCAATCAGACTGAGCACATCTCACATCGCACCTGCAATGGGACGGGGTATGGAGGGACCACGGGAAGGCAGCAGCTGAGCATCTCCTTCCCAGATTGCTGCCCTGGCAATGCAGACAGCACAGGCCTTCCCAGCTCAGAGATTTCCAGCTCTGCACTGCTGTTATCCTAATGGAGCAGCAGCCCCGAACACACGGCCTCGGAGCAAGGACATGCACTTGTTTTTGAGAGGAACTGAACTGCTCCCTCACAGAGCCACCCCTTCAGCTCCAGGGTGCCTTTATTCTAGGGCAAAACTTAGGGATACCTGCAAAACTGAGGTGCCCCTGAATGCTCACCGACTGCACAGTGTCACCTCAGCACCTCCTCAGGTGTCCCACAACACCACCATGCCCAGGAGCTGCAAGAAAGGAGGGGTCCCAGCCCCACTCCAGAGCTCTGAATGTCAAACCTCACATCCCTTTTGACATTCAGCATCTCAATGCACTGCCTGCACCTCACACATCGCTCACCTCTGCTCACACAGCGCCCTGAGCCACCAGGACAATTCCCTTTTCTACCCCCATTCCACATCTCGGTCCCCAGGAGAGGTTCCAGCAGGGGGGAGGCTGAAGCCATGTCCCCTCCCTGTGCAGGGGCCCTGGGGTGCCCCACCACTGTCCCAAGGCTGCTTTGATGCTATTTGGAGAGCAGAGATCAACCCACAGCCCCCCCCCCCCTCACAGGGAGCAGGTGATAAGATAACATGAGCTGAAAGGCAGCACCAATGCAGAAACAGACACCAATGGGAGCCCGACAACATCACAGAGCAGAGGACGTGTGGCAACAAAAGACCTCAAGCTCTCTTTTTTTCCTGCCTTGCCTCCAAGTGCTGGAGCTCGCAGCACCCAGTTCAGCTCCTACTTGTCTGAGCCACAAACATGGTCCTCCCTCAAGTCTGGAGGTGCTGCAGGAGGGTGAGCGGGGCAGCAGGGACAGCCAGGTGAGGCAGCTCTGCTGTTTGGGAGCAGGTAATTAGCTAATTAGTGGGCACAGCTGTAGGCAAACAGCTGCACCTGGGTGAACAGGGCTGAACAGGGGAGGAGGCACAGCACCTGAGCTGTCCCACGGGGACCTCACTGTGTCCTGGAGAGTCCCGCTGTGCCCAGCATCACACAGAGCAACACCCCAAACACAGGCAAAGCTGTTGCTGCTGAGGTCAGGGATTTATTTACAGGTGAAGGGAAGCTCTCATTCAGCTCCACGCGAGGAGCCAGAAGACACAAACCAAAAAAGAACAGAGGTGTTCATCTCTGAACAGAAACTGCCACGCACCCCGGAGCGTCCGGTTACCTCCGAGGGCGCCCCGATGTCATCTCTCCTCCTTTTCCTCAAGGAGGAACAGAAACCACGATTTCAGTGCCTGCACCACGCAGCACAGAGCTGAGTTCCGTGGGCAGCCGTTCCCATCCCATCAGTACTCATCCAACGTGTCAGCCCTGGGCACCACCAGGCCACGCTCCTTCAACGCCTGCACCTTCAGCTTCTCTGATTCCTGCTTGGCCTGCAGCTCCACTCGCTGCTCCTCCAGGATCTCCTCGATGGATACCTGCTGCAGCAGCGTGTCGCTCTCTTTTTCCAGGTCCTGCAAGCAAGGAGTTGTGTGAGCAGAGCTGCAGGCTGTGGGGCTGCAGGGCACGGGGTTCACTCACGATCTCCCCCAGCAGCACCACGTTCTCTCCTCTCACGACAAAGATCCCTCGAGGGATGTCTCCATACTTCTTGCCCACGTGAATGCGCTCCACGGTTTGATGCAGCACCAGATTTGCTGCGGCAATTAAAAAAAAAACAAAAACAAAGAAAAGCCCCATCGTATTTTTAACTGCTTTTTCACCAAACAGAGCACCTCACCTGAATCAAACCACGGCCCAAAGCACGGGGAGCAGCTCTCGGACTGCATGACCACGCGCCTCATGTGTTGAGCATCCTCTAAACCCCACCATCCCCAAAGCCTGCAGCCCTTCCAGCCCCAAAACGGGACCCCAAAACAGCCCCAACCCAGGGCTGATGAAGGCATCCCCGGTGCTGTGGGGTGCGGGGTAAGGGATCGAGGGGCTCAGCCGTAGGCACAAGTGCTGCCCCCAGGCACTGAGGGGGGAGGATGTGCTCAGACGGTGCCGCCCCGAGGTGAGATCATAACACGGGATGGGGGGGATCGTAAACTGCGCTCCTATCGCTATGCACGGCCACGTGGGTTCCATCAGAGCTCCGCTCCCGGTGCTGCTCCCCTCCCCCCCCCGCAACGTACCGAACTGATCGATGCTGCGTAGGAAGCCGATCAGCGTCCGACCGTCCCGCAGCAGGACCAGGTGTTTCTCTGCGGGAAACGGGGAAGGGATCAACCCAGGGAACGAACCGTAAAACCGCGCTCCGAACGGTTTTACCCTTCGCTCCCTGCAGTACAACGGAACCGCGGTCGCACTCACTGTCGATGTCCTGGATGAGGCTGGCCGTACCCGGCATGTAGTTCATGGTGGCGGAAGCGCCGCCGCGCACCGCGGAACCGCCCCGCACCGGGCGGATAAAGGCGGCGCTGAAAGGCGGCCCCTTTAAAAACAGCGCCGGTAGTGAGCGCAGAACGGCCTCCCATTGGTCGAGCCCCGGGGTCCTCGCATCCTATTGGTCGCTTCTTGGGGGCTTTCCATCCATTCGTCGCGCTGCGGGGCTGCCTCGGCCGTGCCGGGAGGCAGACATGGAGCCCCGCGGCCGTACCGCGCCCTGGGGCCCGGCGGGCGGGCAGGTAAGGACGGGTGGAGCCGAGCACGGCCCGTAACACCGCTGCTCGGGTCGAGCGCACCGCGTAACGGCGTTTTCTCTACAGGAGCCGCCGGGTCCCGGCTATTGGAACCCCGCGCAGCACCGAGCGTTCGGCTTCGGGCGTTTTCCCGGCGGAGCGGAGGCGCAGGAGCGGCAGGTCGGTATGCGGGGCGGGGGGTTGCGGGTCCAGCTCCACCTCCCTCCCGTTCTGCTCCGTCCCGAACCGAGCTGTGCGTTGTTTCCATGCCGTGGGATGCGCATTGAAGGCTGCTGTGCCATAAAACCCCGCCGCTTGCGATGCAGTCTCCCTTCATACAAACGTTTCAAAGCCCCGATTTCATGCGGTGGCTGCAGCTCTGCGATGGAATCCCTGCAGCTCGGGTTTGGGGGTTGGAAAACCTCACCTCCTCGCATCGTTTGTAGCTTGGAAAAGGACATGAACTTTCCTGGGGTGTTTCTCCACCCCATCAGCCACACTCAGGGACTGACAGAACCCAACTAAACCTCCTAACGTGCATCCCAACACGTTTTCCCTCCGTTTTCTCCCTTTTCTCCTTCCCAGGGCATGGATTCTCCCTACACCAACGGATCCTACACCGCCCCGTACCCTCCGGCCGCTCCGCATTACACAGCACTGCCACAGACACGAACCTACAGCTGCTCGGGGCCATCCTACAGCACAGACAGCACAGCCCCGTACCGACCCCCCCCTCCTGCCCCTCCGTGGGGCTGTGGAACACAGGACTGCCCTGCAGAGGGCTGCTCACAGCGCAGGCAGCAGCCTGCTGGATACTCCCCACCTCAGGTGAGAGACCATGAGACACCACTGTGCAGCATTTGGGGTTTGCATGGCACAGCTCCCGTGCTGCCCCACAGAGGAAGAACCTGCAGTGCACACCTCTGTGGGGTCAAAATGGTTTCTAAACCCAACCGGTTCGCTCTGCAAGCTCCTGTAAAAACTTGGACTTGTCCCTTTCTGCAGGGAGCTCTGAGGTCGTGGGCTGTAGAACAGAAAGCAGACAGCAATCCCAGTGCTGGGGTTCTTCCCAGAGCTGTCTGGCACAGAACAGTGGTGCTGGGAGTGACTTGGGATTAACGCCTGTCCCCCTTCTCCCCACAGACCCCAGGGATGCCTGTTCCACAATATCCGTATGGAGACCACAGCCCCGGGGCCAACCCACAGCCCAGGGCACAGGAGGAGGCTTGGGCTCCCCCCACGTATGGGGTGCAGCCACAGTATGCATGGCCCACAGCTCCAGCACATGGGAACCCATTCCTCACTGAATCACAACCACCCTGGACTGGCAGTGGGGCTGCATCTCATCCTCCTGCGTGGGACTCAAAGGTACAGTGATGTTCTGATGGTTCCGACACACAGGTTCTGGTTGCAGCCACAGCTCAGATCGTGCTGCCTTTCCCAAAACACGCAAGCAGCTCCTCAGTGCTCCTTTCTACAAGCAGAGTCAGCTCCCAGGAGGCAGAAACAAAGCGGCAGTTCTGAGTACTGCCAGCAAAATGTCAGGACTGTAATTCCAGAAAGCACTGATAGCAGACCTTGAGGGGCAGGTCTTGAAGTGGGGTGGATCCCATCTAAAGCCTCTGTAACGCAGATTTTGGTTTTTTTTCTCCTCTGATTGTAGGAATCTGCTTACGACCAACCCGAGCAAATTGCAAACCAACACAGCTACTATTCTGAGGGCAATCACCAGCACTCTGGGACAGTGAACGACCACAAACCACCCACTCTGCTCAACGCCAAGTCCTCTCCATCCAACCCCAAGGTGCAGTACAGCGCACAGCCTCAAATGTACAACAGCACAACTCGGAGGCGGTTGGCTGGAAATCAGGAGGCAGGCTGCAAAGCTGGCAACCACACTTCAATGAATTCTGCAGCCATCCAGCCAGAGATTCAGAGAATCCTGCACGTCACAGAGCAGGCAGAACAACTGGAACAAGAAGTGGATGAATTTGTAGGAAAAAAGACAGATAAATCCTACCGGCTTCTGGAGGAGATGCTGACCAAGCTGCTGTTAGAACTGGATTCCATTGAGACTGGTGGGCAGGACGGCGTCCGGCAGGCCAGGAAGGAAGCTGTCCACAGAATTCAGGCCATACTGGAAAAGCTGGAAAGGAAGGGATTGTGAAAGAGTATCAGCCACAACGCAGCCTGTTGTGGAGGTTCCAAAGAGTTTTTCCACATCTCAGCTCTTTCTGCTAAGCACTACTGACAATGAAAAAGCAATAAGTCCTGATTGAAAAGAAGAAAACAACCAACCCAAACCCACAGGAAAGCCCAGCCCCAACCAACAGCTCGGCAGTGGACCAATTAAGAGAGGATGAAAGCAGCAAACCGAGTTGTTTGTTCTGGGACGTGAAGAAGCAGCACCAACCTGAGGTGCTCAGCGTTGTGGGGCTCTCTGGAGGTCTGCATCCTTCACTCAGCAAGAAGAAAATTCACTGCACAAAGTTCCCCAAACCAGGCCCAATCCACGGTACTGCAGCACTCGTCACATTCGTCACCGTGCAGCCGTAAATGAAGGCTCTTGGTTGTCCATCACTGCTTTCAGCCTCAGATCCCTCGCTGCTGTGTGTCACCCCAGGGTTCTTTTTGTTTCCATTGTGTTCCTGTAGCTCTGCTCATGATGATGATGTGCTGCAGACAGCAGCTGGTGTGAAGCTGTCCCTTGTGATGCCACGTGGATGTGGGAACACAGCCTGGAACTGTGAATTCTTCACCTGGAAGAAAGAGAGGTGCAGGCAGAGCCGTGCAGCAGCGCAGCCCTGGTCAATGGGAGGTGCAGAAATGCTTTTCAGGTCGCGTGGGTCGAATCCACTTTTTAATTACTGTTAATCTTCTGGTTACAACACGTTGAGCGAATCATTGCTGTGTGTAAT